TCTCTCTCTCTCTCTCTCTCTCTCTCTATATATATATATATATATATATAAAAGTTGGTTATTATACAACCATTTATATTTGTACAACCAATACAACCCAATCTCAACCATCCATTTAATTTGATAAATATATGATTTCATAGAAATTTTGATTGCTTTCTCATATAAAATATTAATCATAATTAATGAATCATATTCATCATCCATAAATATTTAAATCATAATAAATGAACTCACATCATTTCCATAAATATCTCAATTAATTGGGTTGCATTGGTTGTACAAATGGACATAGTTGCATTTGAAATATACCCTATGTATGTATGTATGTATGTATGTATGTATGTATGTATGTATGTATGTATGTATGTATGTATGTACGTATGTATGTATGTACGTATGTATGTATGTTTTATAGCCTGCATATCCAACACGTTGTGCGAGCCGACTAATCTCAGGGAAACCATTCGCTTTGCGGGTTGTTCAGAGTCACCGCATTTTAACCTCCGTGGCTACAAGAGAATTTTTATTCCTCCTTAGATTCGAACCTGAGATTTCCAGACACTTTTGACCTTTGTATGCATATACATTTACATAAAAATGAGGTTAAATTGTATAATGAAGATGTAAAAAATTTGTTTTTTTCTCTCGATACGTGTAAGGAAAAAATTTCAGTATGCATATAGCAAGGCAAAGGTCGTGTGCAAAGCGTAAGAATAAATCTGCACCTTTGATCACTTTTAGTCTCTTGTTCGCCCATCTGTTGCGATTAAGAAGGGAATTGATCCAGTGTAGCTTGGTACACCTCATTAGTGTTGACATTCAATTAAAATTTGATCCATTGGATTTTTTTTAATCTAAAATTAGTCTTCAACTAGTTACCCATTTACATAATTTTTAAAATTTTACATCTTAGGTACCAAAATAAAAGTTTTAAAAATACATTATCCAAAATATGAATTAAATTAAAATACATTATTGTTTTTATATAATTTACCCGTTAGATAATTATCTTGATATCCTCTCACTTCCAAAACATGGTTCCATTTATCTCTGGGATTACACCATTATCCATAATTTAAATAGCAGTAGGAAAATATTCCATTGATTATTTAAGATTCAGTCATCAAAAACCTTTTCCAACTACAATTAACCAACACTTCAGCTTCTAAGAGTTTCCATTTGAATGTTGTGACCAAACTGTACAAAACTTTTTATAATTATACTTTTTTTTAATGATATTAAAAAATAACGTATTTTAATTTGATTCTAATTTTAGGTAACATACTTTTAAAACTTCCATTTTTATACCTAAGATGTAAAGTTTTAAACATTTAAGCACGCGGGTAACCGGTTGAAGGCTAATTTCAGATTAAAGAAAGTTCATGTCACTAACCACATCAGCACATAATACTGAGTTGGATACCACATCACTCGCCACGTCAGAATGGTAACCGGTTGAAGACTAATTTTATATTTTAAAAAAATAGATTAAAGAAAATCCATGTCACTAACCACGTCAGCAAATAATATTGAGTTGGATACCGCATCAGCATGGTAACCGGCTAATGATTCAACTGATTACCAAGGTACTTAAATGTTTAAAACTTTACATCTTAGGTACATTACCCAAAATAGAAATCAAGGTAAAGTACGTTATTTTTACATGCAATTTGTCCATTATAAAACATTTTAACTGGTTTTTTAAATTTATCGATCTGATAAGTTAACGATAAGATATAATTCAGATAACTTATTTAAGGTATATCTGAGTAAATAGGAAAAAATGAGAAAATAACGAATAACATGCTTTATTAAGTTATTAATCAATTTTATTAACATGACACCATTTTTAATACATATAAACACCTATAAATACAACCAACAAGAAGCAACCTTTTCACTCACAAAGATAACAAATCCCACAAGAAGAATGCACCATTTTATCATCTCTCTACATTCACTTACCCTTATTTTTCAAATATCAGGTAATTATTTGCATTATTTATTTATAAAATATTAAGGGGTTGTTTGACAGTTATTGAATGATTTGGTGCAAATGATTAAGAGACTTTCATGATATAGCGCAAAATGAAATATAACTGTTTGGTAATTGTTACAATGAAATTAGGGCGCTGAATGGTTAAGGGATGCCCATAATACAAAAATCATTCAGAGGGTTTTAGAACAATTAAAAGACAGACTTTTTTTTTTGTCAAAAAAGATTCACTACTTAATGATTCAGAGGTTGCCTCTTAATGGAACTATTAAGAGGTAAACAATTAACCCCTGAATCTTTAAGAAATAAATTTTGTTTGGCAAAAAAAAATATGTCTCTTAATAGTTTTAAAACCCTCTGAATGATTTTGTATCTTAAATTTCCCTTAATCATTTAACATCCTAATTTCGTTATAAATAATTACCAAACTATTATATTTTATTTTGCAGTATACCATGAGAGCTTTTTAATAAGTTAATAAGCTAACTGGTAGCTAATAATTTAGTTGGTGAATAAATCATAGTTCGCGAAACTAGCTAAATCAATTATAATATTTCAAAATATAATTGAAAACAAATTTCTAATAATATAATATATTAACTAATACATCATGTTATTTATGATTTTAAATAATCATTATATATAATAAAATAAAAATAAAAATGGTTCGCTTTACATAT